GCGGGCTGGGTTCTCCCTGAGAAGGGATTCATCTGCTGTGTTAGGGTCCTGTTGGGGCTCCTCCTGCCCCGAGGTGCCTCACCCGGCTCTGCCCACACCCTTTGCTCACTTCTGTTTAAATGCAGGGTCAGGAAAAGCCATCCTGAGCTGGGCAGTCATGGCTCTGCTTCCATCCCCTAGAGCTGGGTCATGGCCAAATTACAGAGCAGCTGAGTGAGATTAAACTACGTGGAGGCAGATATTAATTAAGAAGAAAAAGTGAAAGCTACTCATTTCCCCCTTCAGAACGATATGTATGCTAATTAAAGCAAACATTCGTTAAGCCCCCTCCCTCTCTGGAGGGCTTTGCTGACTCCTGCTCCCCTTTGGGCCGCAGGGAGCCAGCGAAGGCCTCAGAGCGCCCATGGCCTGCACTGCTTGCACTCCCTGCTGTTTATAGCTTCGGTGGTGAAAAGCAAACAGCAGCCTGGGCCCGTGGCCAAGCGCAGCCTCCAGTTTCTCCGTGGGAGAAAGGCAGAGTGGGTGGGCACCTCCGAGGCAGTGTCAGCACAGCATATGCTGGGGGACAGCACTGTGCAGAGCCCCCCGGCACTGAGATGCTGCTGGAGCTGTCAGCGAGGAGCTGGGAGAGAGCTGGGATCCCCTGGTGTGCCTGCAGAACAGAGCATCCCCACCCTGAGAACCTGCTGATGGAAGCACGCTTGAGAGGGAATTGGACTCCTGGCTGTCTCATCCCTGTATCGCTGTCTCCCCTTACAGCTCATTGTCTCAGCCTTGTCCAAGTGGTCTCTTGTTTTAAAGGCATCTTGGCTTACAGTTCTCTCAAATCAGTTCTGCCCCCCAGCTCCTTCTTGGCCGTGTGTGACATTTATGTTTATGTAATCCACCCAGAGAGCCTTTGCCTCGCATAGCAGTGCTGGTATGCTATGCTCAGGGTTCTAAATCCTGCCTGGATTGCTAAAAGGGAGAGTGCTGCGCATTCCCCTGATAATGCTGAGTGCACAAGCCACGTTTCTAGTGGTTATGGAGAGTTAAGAACACTCCAGTTTCTTGTGTGGGTTGGAATAGTTCAGTTTTCCCACTCAAATAAGCACTGCTCACCTAGGCCTGGGAGTGTTTCATCTTCCTTCCTCTCTTTGTGTTAAAAGGGCTCTGCTGCAATCATGGATCAACAGCTCCAGGCTGCCTCTTCCTGAGGCCTTCCCCAAAACACCTCTTCCCAAAACACCTCAGGTTTGTGGCTGTTTCACCTTCCATGGTACTGAACAGCAGGTAAGGACACACCCTTAAGGCTCTAAGGGTCAGAAGTGCCCCTGGATGTCTGTAGTTCACTTTGGGACTATTGTGATATTAACACACGGGATGGGAATTCACCCTCTTACAAGCACACAGGACTCGGTGCTTTGGAAAAGCAAGGGCTGGTTTTCAGCCTCCACCCTGCCTTCGGGCACTGCTGCTATGGAGACAGCACTCGCTGAGCCACAGCATCCAACACACTCCCACAGCGCTTGTGCAACCCTTCAACAACCCGTTTTCAGGGGCTGCTTGCACGCTGCCAGTGCTCAGGTATGAAAATGAGCATTTCCCTTGCGAACCTCCCAAAAACACCAGTTTAATCCCAAAGGGCCAAGTTCTGACCCTCCCTTGGTGAATGACTTCATTGGTGTCAGAATTTGGAGCTCAGTGAGTGAGGTGAGGCTGCTCCTCTAGAGCCAATGCAGGTACCTGCTGATGAAAGGGCACACTGAAATCTCTCCTCCTAGCACAAGGCTCCTTGCTCTCTGAGATGCAAATTTAAAAGGTCAGGTCCTTCAGGCAAAAACAAACGCTGCCATTTTCTGGAGGTTCAGCTCATTGTGGGACTGAGGAAATACCCCTACCTAAAGGGCTGCTGCTTGAGCCCAAGTTATTTACTTCATGCACACTGCCCTCCCTGCTTTTCTGTGACCTTTAATTTTCATTAGGTCTTTTGTACTTGGGGGAACAGCAGGATGGAATGGGAATGGAAAGCATGTGTGTAACTGAGTAAAGTCTGGGGGGTCGAGAGCTTTAAACCAAGGCTGGTTAAAATAATTGGCAGGACAAATGAAGCATCTGTGAGCAGAAGAGCAACGTGCTCTGTCACTGCACTGAGGGGGACTGCGGGCTTGTCCCCTGCTGCCCCTCTTTTGATGCAAGCACAGCCAGTGATATCCTTCAGCTGGAGGTACTGGAGAATAACCATAGCCTTTCCACCCTTTCAGAGATAAGACAAAGCTGAAAGCTGAGCAGACCCTGCACAAAGGACCCCTGGAGAGACAAAGCTTTGTCACCTGAACCTGGTCTAGGAAAATACAGCAACAGCCCTTCGCCTTCCTGGAGGGAGCAGCTCCTGGAGCAAGGTACAACAGGGTTCCTTAAACCCCCCGTGTGTTCCATCCACCCTCCAGAGAAGCTCAGACACTCTCAGCGTGCTCAGAAGCTTCTGTGCCTCTTTGTTTTCCTTTCTGGTCCAAATATTCGTGACTGAATTGGATGGCTTTGGAGCCAGCACCCATAACCAGCCATGATTCCGGGGAACTCGGCTGTGTGATGTGTCAGGATCTGGCTGCTGAATGGAATTTGCTTACATGACTAACTCCAGGTGGCCAAAAACGTCCACACAAACGCTTTGTACCTTCAAATATTCCTCCTACTTGGCGCCTCTCCCAGGGGGAAAGAAAAGGTTAAACTGTGAAAATAATGAATGGGAGGATTGCTGCAATATTTAGCTAATTTGTAAAGAAAATTAATAACTCGTGGTATTGAATAATTACTATTGCATAGACCAGTGATTGCAGTGACAGAGCCTCCCAGTCCTGGGGGCTGAAGAGACTGGGAAGCAAACAGAAGGATGAAAATACACAGGCTAAAAAAAATCCCTGGCAATGCAAGATGGAGAAACACAGCAATTCTGCTGGGGGATTAAAACGGGCCCAAAGCAGGGACTGCTGACGTGAGAGAAAGGGCTGAGAATGGAAACTTTCACAGATGTAGGAAAGAGAAAAGTTTCTCCTTAGCAACAGTTTATGTGTGCTGGTCCACGCTGGATCCTGGTCAGGGTCAGGCGCCAGGTTCTGCAAGGAAAGAGGCTCTGCAGTGCAAAAGGAGAGGCCTTGAGGCTTGAGCCTGGCTTTTCTGCTCCCCTGGTCCATCCCCGTGCATCAGCAGTAGGTGCTGGGCTCCCTGGAGCTGTTTTGGGAGCAGGAGCTGCAATAAATAACCCACACAGACATGCTCACTGAGGCACAGCCTGCCCACATCCAGGCTGCTAAATTTAGGTTCCTTCCAGCAGAGGAGCATGGGCAGAGAGGCACAGGGATGAGACAGGGCTGTCCTGTGAGCTGGAAAAAACCCGTGATAATAACAGCCCGTTGGGCATCACAGGAGACCAAAGGTGCTGAGGATAAACACTTGAAAACAAATGTCTTCTATTGCAAGGCTGATTTCCCTGTGTCAGCCCTGTGATCATGTCCATGGCTGACCCTGGAAGGTAAAACTGAAGTCCCTTTGCCTGCGGGGTTTTGGCTTGAGGGCACTGCCATTTGTGGGGCAAAATGAACAATCGCTATGCAAAGAACCATCCTGACTGAAATCGCGGCCGTTTGCAGTGCAGAGTTCCTAGACAAGGGGTGAGGATGCTGAAGAGCCAGAGAGGTGCTGTGTGAGCACGATACAGATCAGGAATCCCCGCAAACAACACCGGGGGAGGAACA